CTATTAAATGTCAAATACTTGTTAAAGCTTGTTTACTTTTTGGGGCTTTTGTGTTGTGGAATATTTGTGGGAGGAGGAGGGCTGTCAGGAGATAACTGGAAGTGGGGGGACGTGATCGTTCATGTGCTCTGGTAAGTTTCACATTATGAGAGACGTTCCGGTAATCATGTTCAGTGTCCGCAGAGAAAGACGAGTGAATCGACAGCGGTGCTTGATGTTTGCCTCAAGGGCTTTTTCCTGATACAGAAGATTATTAAAGATTGAAAACGCCATCTGCACAAAGTTTTCGCAAACTATATTTGACACAACTTTCTGTAGAAAATGGTTAATTCCTTCACTGTGTAATCCATTTTCTTTGGGATTCTAGCTAAGAACAGCAAACCACACTGTTGCAAAGTTTCAACTGTTTCAACTGATTTTTTGGCCACAATGGGAGCCGTGGAACAAGCTGTTCAGCCAACACTGACATAGCTTTATAATGTTTTTATGCTGAACGGGTTAGCAGCAAACAACTGCCTTACACATCCAGCAGACAGGAACAACACTAGCATTCATTTAGAGTTGTGGAGTTCTGGTTACCTGATAAATGTAAGTCCAGTTCACTCTCCCTTTAGCTCTTTTTTTGGTTTCCACCAAGTCCTGAGGGAAATATCTCGCCCTTTCGGTACTAAAAGATGCTAACTGCTGATATTCACCAGAAAGTCACTAACTCTGTCTGTTTACTGGAAACATGGCAGTTCTATATGGCGGCCTTCATGAAAGTGGACCACTGTAGAGAACAACAGTTGATTCTAAGGTAATGAAAACCCAATGATTCCTGTATTTAGGTGATCATACACTCATGAAAACATACTTACGGATACCAGAATGGTGAGAGAGTGATACCAATACCAGTGAAATTTCACGATTCTCGATACCACAGTAAAAATGTCCCAATCAAGTTTTCTTATCCGCGATCCCCCATTGAATAGCTGCTGATACTCCCGAGTCATAACTTGTATTTTTCTTAATGATAAAGGTGACTAGCTCTGCATTGCATTCAGAAAAACATTGCCTGCAACCAACCTTAATGTTTTTTAGAATTAATATATCAATATTTGTATAGCCTATATATAGTCTATATTTTATACTGAACAACTGATAAACAAACACACTCTCTCTGCAATATTTTTTGATAGTTTGAGCTTGTCTTGTTGCTATCTGAAAGGCGTTTCTCTCTGCCTTTAAGAGTGTCCTGCAGAGTTTGTTGCTTTAGTGCAGCCTTTACCTGAGTTACCTGACTGAACTGGATTCTGCTGATGGTTTATTTTCCTTGTCTGTACATCTTTTCATTAATGAATTATTCTTATTTGCTCTTTGTTTGCTGGCGTGGTGAGTGTGACTGTCTCGCTTAAGAGCACACACACACACACACACACACACACACACACAGCACAGTGACAGAGACACGGAGGAGAGTTGATGACGGAGCAAAATTACATCCTCTGTACCTACGGTAGAAAACCATCAACTTGGTACCGCAGTAGCCTATCGGTTCTTGTGACATCCCTAATGAATATTCTATTTAATTTCTGCCAATAGATCCTCCTAATTCATACACGCTGGGCCTGTAAGTAGGAGAATAATAGTTCTTCAGTCCAATACTTTCACTTAACAGGAACATTCATTTTCATCTCTGTGTATTATACTGTAATTATTGTGTTGAGAAAGGAAATACCACTGAATTTTTGTACCCTAGAAAAACACACAAACTTACAGTTTTAATTTACACTCATTACTATTTACTTAAACCATAAACAAAGGAGAGCTGTCCAGAAATGACAGCAGTGATTCATGTCCGACACCAACATACAGCTACATTAAGAATAATTTATAATACATAATAACATGCAGTGGAAATCTTTTTGAATTTGGGTGTACTCTTGTTCAAACTAGTCATTACTGCTATAAAACGAGGCTCATTTAAATGTGGAAGCCAAGGAAAATGTTATTTAAAACCACACAGTCTGCCTTTTACTTTCAGTGGAGCAGCTCCAGGCCTGATGATATTGCAGATTATGTCATTTGTTGAGAGATTATTTGTGTTTGAATAGTATTGATTTAACTGTACCTGTCCTGTAATAAAAGCATTTGGACAAATATGATCCTCACCTCATGTGTATAAAGACCATGAAAAGCACTATAAACTATATTGTCTTTCATTCAAAAACATAGCTGTCTATTTGGATTAACTCAGCTGTCAGAGCTGAGGCCTACTTGAACAAATTTCTGCAAATATCCTCTCTCGCAACTGTGCATAACCAAGCCTGTCATTTTCCCAGGAATAGAAGGGTAGTTAAAATTACAGCTTTTGAGGAGTGGAAATTTACGCACTGTCTGTTCTTAAATAGGAGCTCTAACAAAATAGCCATATGGTAACATTTACAGATTTAAACATGGGAAGTTTTACGATATAAGAGGAATCTTTAATGATATATGACAAAGTGTGAGTTCAGCATCCGCCTATTTAGCTGTAAAGTTTAGTTTTGTATGGATTTTAAAACACTGATGTAGTTTTACATTGGGTGTGCAGAGTAGTCAATACTCCTTTAGCCTTTAGCTTTTTAAAATCTTTCTGTCCAAGACCTCAAAATCAAATCAAAGATCAAAGATTAGCCTTGAAGAGATTAAAACTGAGTGTAATTAGTTGCTGTCACCTTCAAGAATGCTTTCAAGGACCCGATTAGGTTCCTAGATCTAAGTTTGGGAGCCTAAGTTTTAGAATAGCAAGACATTAGATAATGCAAATTTGGTCCATGAAAGAGTTCAGGAGAGAGCAAGCAGGTCCAAAGGTTACAGTATGCAATGCCGACTAAAAGCTACATTTGTTTTGTCCACTTTGGGGCAGCAGAACATAACAGTGACATAAACTGTCTTATAAATATTGCTTGTTCTGACCAATGTGTCAACAGATGGTCGTCTATTTACACATCAATCAGACTTGCAACATTCATTTGGAGTTTCTGGCCACTGTATAAATGTAATGTAAATATGCTCCTGCCGGAAACAAGGTTAATGAGTCAACCAGAAAAAGTAAAGTTGTGGGCTGTAAAACCAAAACACTGCTAAAACACTGTGCAAAGAACTGGGTTATAATTCCTTATGGGGTTGTCTCAATAAGCAACAGCTTTTACATTATACATAATCAACTGATCCACTGTGTGAACATATAAAATCCAATAAGCCATGTCTATATTAGAGTGAAAGCATCAGGAGATTATTATCAGGAGAGGTCCAATACTCTTTTAAAGCTGACAGTCTGGAGAGCTTACCAAAACGATAATGTTGTAATCATCAAATATTCCTCGCTGATTTGTATCTCATCTATAAGCGTGGTAAGTGGTAAATCTTAAAAGAGACTTGACTGTACACAGTGTTTCTGTAGTAGGGTCCCACAAACCACCAAAAAAGGATTTTAAAAAAGGATTTTAAAAAAGGTTTTGACTTTCCAAATATGTGCAGATATTTTTACACATCTTTAACAATATAACCACCATGATATACAACAATAAGGTCATCCTGTATTGATGAAAGACCCCGTATGGGAGTTTGAAATACTGAGCTTTTTGTTAGAACTTGAGAGAGGGCATGCCTACTTTCTTATAAAGGTTAATTTAACATATGTTGGTGGTAAAATTGCTCTTAAAGCCTTTAAGAATCTGAACTCTGCTTCCTCCTGCCTTGCAGGTCTGAGGGGAGTCTGTCGCATCAAACCACTGAACTCCTACATTGATACTCGATAAAGCTACATCTAATATTACTTTGAACTAGTGCGGCAGTACGTGATCCCTACCGATATATTAGTTTTTGTTGAATGTGACAAATCACTAAATATAATCGATGTGAGCCTAAAGGATTGTTGTGTTCTTTTATGTGATTTCTTTCAGTGCTTTATGCTTTGTCCCTTGTGAAATCTAAAAGATCATTTGGAGCCTAGAAGTACTGCATATCCTAGACACAGGACAGTGGGGGATGTAGAAAATGCCCTGTCACCCCAGTTTGGTGTGAAATGCTTTCAGATTTAACACATTAACTTAGAGTAATTTCAAAACGTCTTAAAAAATAGAAATGAACACAGAATTTAAAGGTTCTAGTGCGTAACCTTTTAGGAGGATCTATTGATGAACTGTTTTTGTTCTAAAGTAGCTCAAAACGGACTAACTAAACTAAACTAAACACCAGCCTTCACATTCGCAGCCATCTCCTTTATGCTTGGAAGGGGAGGGTGAGGCAAGGGAATTGCAATCTAGTGGCTAGATGCCACTAAATCCTACACAGGTCCTTTAATGATCTGTTATGGCCACAGTTTAGATTAAGTGATTAAGTTCAATGAAAAATTACATATTTGGAAAAATGTCTGAAGTTTGCAAAAAAAAATATTGATTTTGAATGCCACCTTTAGCTATTTCTATT